TTAACCACTGAGCTATGTACATCCCGTAAACTCTTGTTGCTAATTCATTTTCCTTATTCAACCAACTACTATCAAGTGCAGCTGATTTGCCGCTATTTAAACTCGACAGCGTGGTTGTTGTTGTCAATTCTATACATCCATTAGCTTATTTGCTTTTTTGTATAGTTTTAGACAGGCTCTTCCTAAACTATGTATTTGTCAATGTTATTGTGGCTTGTTAACATTTTATTTTTAATATTTTTATTGAGCTTTGTACCACGATTGTTTATTAGGAAAAATTGAAAAAGCAACAAAGTCTAAGCGGTAGAAGTTATAGCACTATTTCGGAGATCACCACATCTCCTCATCAGACTTCTTTTTTCTAGACTTCAGCAGGGATCGAACCTGCGAATTCGATGTTCAAAGTCAGAAGCGTTAACCACTGAGCTATGTACATCCCGTAAACTCTTGTTGCTAATTCATTTTCCTTATTCAACCAACTACTATCAAGTGCAGCTGATTTGCCGCTATTTAAACTCGACAGCGTGGTTGTTGTTGTCAATTCTATACATCCATTTGCTTATTTGCTTTTTTGTATAGTTTCAGGCAGGCTCTTCCTAAACTATGTATTTGTCAATGTTATTGTGGCTTATTAACATTTTATTTTTAATATTTTTATTGAGCTTGCTGCTATAACTTCTACCGCATTGCCGTTCTTCATTGCCGTGACTTCTACCGTTGCTTTTTCAATTTTTCCTAATAAACAATCGTGGTACAAAGCTCAATAAAAATATTAAAAAAATAAAATGTTAATAAGCCTCAATAACATTGACATATACATAGTTTAGGAAGAGCCTGTCCGAAACTGTACAAAAAAGCTAATAAGCAAATGGACGTATAGAATTGACAACAACACCACGCTGTCGAGTTTAAATAGCGGCAAATCAGCTGCACTTGATAGTAGTTGGTTGAATAAGGAAAATGAATTAGCAACAAGAGTTTACGGGATGTACATAGCTCAGTGGTTAACGCTTCTGACTTTGAACATCGAATTCGCAGGTTCGATCCCTGCTGAAGTCTAGAAAAAAAAAGTCTGATGAGGAGATGTGGTGATCTCCGAAATAGTGCTATAACTTCTACCGCTTAGACTTTGTTGCTTTTTCAATTTTTCCTAATAAACAATCGTGGTACAAAGCTCAATAAAAATATTAAAAATAAAATGTTAACAAGCCACAATAACATTGACAAATACATAGTTTAGGAAGAGCCTGCCTGAAACTATACAAAAAAGCAAATAAGCAAATGGATGTATAGAATTGACAACAACAACCACGCTGTCGAGTTTAAATAGCGGCAAATCAGCTGCACTTGATAGTAGTTGGTTGAATAAGGAAAATGAATTAGCAACAAGAGTTTACGGGATGTACATAGCTCAGTGGTTAACGCTTCTGACTTTGAACATCGAATTCGCAGGTTCGATCCCTGCTGAAGTCTAGAAAAGAGAAGTCTCATGAGGAGATGTGGTGATCTCCGAAATAGCTGCTATAACTGCTACCGTTTAGACATTGTTGCTTTTTCAATTTTTCATAACAAACAATCGTGGTACAAAGCTCAATAAAAATATTAAAAATAAAATGTTAACAAGCCACAATAACATTGACAAATACATAGTTTAGGAAGAGCCTGCCTGAAACTATACAAAAAAGCAAATAAGCAAATGGATGTATAGAATTGACAACAACAACCACGCTGTCGAGTTTAAATAGCGGCAAATCAGCTGCACTTGATAGTAGTTGGTTGAATAAGGAAAATGAATTAGCAACAAGAGTTTACGGGATGTACATAGCTCAGTGGTTAACGCTTCTGACTTTGAACATCGATTACGCAGGTTCGATCCCTGCTGAAGTCTAGAAAAAAGAAGTCTGATGAGGAGATGTGGTGATCTCCGAAATAGCTGCTATAAATTCTACCGCTTAGACTTTTCAAATTTTCCTAATAAACAATCGTGGTACAAAGCTCAATAAAAATATTAAAAATAATAGAAATAATTGTATAACTATAAGCTCACCTCTTCCAATGGCACATTGTCAGGAACCGCTTCGTGACCTTCGATGTAGTTGGTCCCAATCAGATCAACTACCCGCCTCTCCATCTCCGTAAAAGGCGGCTGGTCGATGGGCCTATTGCCTGTTATAGCCTGCTGCCTCTTCCGGTCTTTGTACGGCTTTTTAAGTCGCGCCAGACCTGTTTGCAAAGTAATGAAATACATAGTTAACAAACAAGTAGTATATAAAGCCTTACAGCATATTTATGAATGACTAAGAAAATAAAAGTATAAATAAATGTGCACAGGAAGCTCAAACAAAATTAAACAAAAGCCCCGGGGGAAATGTTAAGTTATTTGTACAACGATTTTGGGGTAGAGAGCGGAGGGGGAGTTGGCGCGGCCCCCCAAACTTCCCTTAAAATAAAGAAGATGGACCGCAGTTTATGAAAAGACCCCTTGGAGCTGATTGCAAAAATACCATATTTCAAACCTAAATTATAAATAAAGTAATGCACAGCTATGGTAAGCCTTTTGCTTAAATAAAGTGTATGCTCTTGTCTATAAGTGTGTGTAAACGTTTTTTGATTCGGGTCACACGTTTGGGCACAGCAACCCAAAGTCGTTGCACAAATAACTAAACCGTACCCGATATGTTAAAAATGAATTTGAACACTAAAAATTACTTTTCCGGATTAACCAACAACCTGATTCTTCATTTGCACATTTTAATTAAAAAATTGTACTTCACGTATGTACAAATATATATACTAATGGCCTTATTCATAAAAAATAAAGTAAGTTTAAAGAGCTATATAAACTGACGTTTTCATACATTTTCCATTTATAAACCTTTTATAAAGCTACTTTAGTTTTTATGAATAAGGGCATAATTGTNTTCATTTGCACATATTAATTAAAAAATTGTACTTCACGTATGTACATATATATATACTAATTGTTTTTTTATCGCACTCTCGAAAACTGCTTCCTATATACACACACTTAAAACACAAGATAAGTACTTACCGAATGCCATTGTTCCACAGACTTTATAGCTCCTCCTATTGCGTTGAGCTTTTGTGCCATTTCCGCCCACTTCTTTTGGTACTCCAGCTTTCCGTGGAGACGCTGGAACTTTCCGGATGCAAGCCCTTCGTTCTCCGTGAGACTTTTCACTTTCGACTTTCGACTCTCGACTTTTTTTATTTATTTGCATATAAAAACTGATCTTCTAACAAGGGCGCGGAGTGCTGTTTGGTCGTATTTAAAAAAAATTGCCAATAAAACTGAAGTGAAATTTGAAAAGTGTGGTAGAGAAATGAATTTTAATGACAGTACAACAACATTGTCAAATCATTTAAGAGCAGCGCATAAAATTACTATACGAAAACAAATTCCTCAAATTTGTTAATCGTTTGTCTCCAAAATCTTCAGTTAATAATGAGGTAAGATAAACATGGGTATTTATTTTAAAAATTTCATGCAAGAAAGTTTTTCTGCATGAGTTTATGTAAGTTTCTACAGACAGTCTTAGGTTCGAATTTGACCAATCCGTAAGGTACAACATTTTAAACACCGCTAAAAACGTTGCTGGTAGGATTCCAGTTAATATGCGACATTAGTCGTGTGGATAGTCCCAATCCACTAGCTGTCTGGGCTACTCCCATATTTATCCATGCTTATAAAGTGGCACTTATATTTCTACCAATTCCCGCCAATTCTGCTCCATCGGAAAGGCCACATTTTTCAAAAAGTTATCCGTAATTACCTAATATCAATTCAAAAAAATTTTAGATTTTTTTTTGTGAAAATTTAAAAATTTTTAATTTGTTTTTCAAAAATATAGTTTTTAAACACCCTCACAACTAACATTTTCATGCTGTATAACTGGAACAATTTTCAAAATTTTTAAAAATCTTTTAGTGTCGGTTTTTTTTTACCTAGCATTGAATTTCACTAAATTACAGATTATTCTAAAGACCACTAGTAAATCATGATATTTTTGGCGTATTCTGACTCTTATATTTATAGCTAATATATGAGTTAAATGCAGAGTATACTTAATACATCTCTTTTTATTCAAAACGTCAAAAAAAGTCGAACAAAATCGACTTTTCTTCGTGTACAGTCGACTTTTAAAGTCGACTGTACAGAGTCGATCGAAAAGTCGAAAGTCGACTTTCTAGTGAAGTCGAACAACCCTAGTTGAGCTGCTCCGCTGATGTCCGACTCCTTTTAGCTCCTGCTCCACTGGTAGACGCCATTCTGAAATTATAAATAAGAACAAAGTAATTTCTTATACATATTAATAAAATAAGTAGCAAAATATACTTCCCTTTGCTGCAATATGTGGACGCTAATTAGCGGCGCGAGGAAATGGCTTTGTTTTTTTTCTGTTCCGCTTTGTGCTTTTCGCAAATTTGACATTTCGAACAGCGGAGATGCCACTTTTTATCAATTTGAATTAATGGAAAAAGTCAGCTGTTCACTGTCGTTAGGAATGAGTTGGTGAATCGCATAATCGTTATTGACAACGACAAAAATCTTTAATTAACAACTCGACAAATGCATCGTTAAGAGTTACCGAATCGCATTACTGGTATAATTTCACCATGCTGAGGTTCAATTGATGCTAATTTATAGCAAACATAGCACGCGCACCTCATAGGGTTAATTTGTTTGTTTACAGTTTTTTGACATTATAACCAGCTACAAGAGAGTTCGAGCTAGTTGTCACTTCTACCTTGTTAAATATGCCTTGGATTTCACAAATACACCGGGAGGTACGCGAAAGGCATGATTGATTCCAAGTGCTGTTCCTATGACTGTTATGCCGACAAGTCCCTCCAACAACACTGCAACTCATAAATCAAAAACAGAAAACAACATACAATTTAACAAAGTTTTACTAAAGAAAACAAATAAATAAATAAAAATAAACTTCAAATTTACTTCAAAACGTCAACCAGTGAAATGTAATTTTTTATTTTTCCTTACACACGCTCATTTTTATTTGTACTCTCCCGAAAACTTTGACTTTTGTAGGTTTGACGTCAAATTGGCTTCTACCAGTTTTTATCGGACCATGGCCTTAACGTATGTATTTGAAAAAAAAAATCTATTTTTCATATTCCAATAATTAGATTTATGCATTAGCGCACACAAGGGGTGGGTTTTGGGGTTCAAACGTTTATTTATTTATTACATACTGTACATAAAACTTGCATAAATGTATTTTAAAGAGCAACAACGGACATGTCTGGCAGTAATAAATCTGTTTCTAAAAGTTAGCTAAAGCCAATGCAAAGAAAATTAGCCTTACTAAAATGACTTAAAAAATTAGCATTTTTAACTGTAAAGATACGATGCGCACTAGTCAACGCAACCATTACCGCCTGCCAGATGGCCCCCACGCTAACCGAGGGAGTGAGAGAGAAAAACCAGCTGTCCTGAAATTCCTGTTTTCACGACGTTGCTAGCTCCCGTACTACTAATTCTTATCATGTCCAAGCATTTTGTGTTTAATATGTTCCTAAAAACAGTTTTCGATACTTCAACAAAGAAAAGTACAAAAATATAAGGTTGCCTCGATTTATTTTGGCCGATTAAGTTCTGAACGATAGAAAATAAATTAGTACGTTCCAAGTTTGCGAAAAAGTTGTTTAGAACTCCTATTAAGTCGTAATGAAATGTACCGCAAATGTTAAGTGTAACGTAGCCAGTGAAAAATTTAAAAAAGTTGTTTTTTGGTAATTAAGTACCCTTTCCAAAAGGATATATATATATATATAATCATAGCTGACTTCGCTGCACAATTAACTAATAACTAAGTGTAACGTGGCCAGTGCTTTTCTTTTTATTTAAAATTGTTTTATTGACTTAATACCTATTTATTCTCATTTCATTTTAGCAATAAATAATAACACATATATAAGAAAGTCTTTTCATGAACAATTGCGAATCGAGAATTATACTGCTTATTTTAATAACTATTCTATTGAAACAAACCGAAACTAACATTTGTAAAATATCCTTTGAAATCTTTATCTCTTAAAATTTTGACTATATATTTGCCTGTAATTCAATTAGATTTTTTGCAACATATAAATCTGATAAGTTATCTGCCCATTATAGTGATTGTGCTCATAACACTACAATTTTATAGAATCTGATACAAGTCTACACCAGACTATGAAGAGTTTATAATAATAATAATAATAGTAATAATAATAGATTGGCGCTTAGACATATGTTAGTGCTTGGCCGAGCTTCTCCTCCAAATTGTGGCGTTCGCCTTGAAGTTGTCACACAAAGGGGAGGGACCTACAGTTTAACGCCGACTCCGAACGGCGATTGTTTTTTATGAGAAGCTGTTTTCATGGCAGAAATACACTCGGAGTTTTGCCATTGCCTGCCGACGGACGACCGCTGTTAAGAAAAAACCTTTTTTCTATATTTTTTGCGATGTTGCTTTGACCGGGGTTTGAACCCGGGTGCTGCGAAGTGGAAGCGCGCACTGCTTACCACTACACCACAGCGGCCGCCGGAAGAGTTTATAAATTTATTTTGATCGTTTTTGTTTATCGGCCTTTTAATTGTAAACCTACGTAATTTTTATTTTTTAAGATCGAGGCCCAGAGCATGGGCGTCGCTACGTAGGGACAGGGGGCTCGAGCCCCTCAGCTAGACTTTGAAGTTTACCTTATATGTAGGTATACAATCTTCGATTATTACCGCAGCGACCACAAAAATGCAGTTGCCAATATAGCAACTCAGTGGCCAGCTTGCAGTTGCCATCTGCAAAACCATTTCAGCCAGTAGCCACCCAACTGAAGTTCGGTTGCCATGAGCCTGAGTCGGCTCAGCTTATTCTGGTACTTGCAAATATCGGGCCCAAGTTATAATACCATTTCATGCTCATGAAAGGTATAGTTTTCAGATTTCAAATCGGTGAAGTAGGTAACGAAATATAAATTTAAACATTTTCTTAACTTCTTCCCAGCGTATCTATTAAAATGTCATTTTCAAAAATTTCATGCATGCCATGTCATGCCATCTCAAGCATACTGTTATAGCATGTCATTGCTTCTTAGCTCAGCTGTTGTTTGCTGTTGTGTTTCTGCAGCATATTTTTAATACTGTTAAATCCTGCCTTGTATGAAAATGTATATAGCAGGGGTTAGCAAGGCCGAGGCCGAAAAGAGCCACATCTAAGTTCTAAATGCTACAAAGAGCCACAAAAAAAGAACAAGAAAAACAAAAATTTTATTTTTAAATAAAATTATTATTACAAATGAAAAACATTAATTTTATTATTATTCTATTGTACGTAAGATAGATATAAAAGAAAGTTCAAAAGATCCCTTTGGCGAAATTTTCAAAATCTGGTTTTAGGTCAGTTAAAGCCGTTCGTAACAATTCTGTTAAATGTTCGATAGTCAATAGGTACGTTCGTTTAAAATCTCCAGTAAAAAATGTCCAACAGCGAAATTCCGGCGAAATATCATCTGTCCTCTCACAAGAGAAAAATATCCACGATAGTACGCGAACAGAAAATTTGCAGAAACTTGCAAGTTAGACGAACAGCTGATAGAAATTTTGTTTACATTAACAGGTCTATTCTGCACGTTACCGAAGATCTTGTGACCGGAAAATTTTATTACCAAAAATTGTTACCACTTGTCACCGCGATTCGAGGTAGGTTGGTAATGCAGTGAAAATATTCAGCAACTCAGCTATGAAGATTTGTGGAAATTCCTGTATTGCATAATTCACGGGGCAATATTTTGTTACCAGCTTATGAGATGGTGACCAAATTCACCGGTTACAAGAGAGCACAGAATGCGAAAAAGGTTTAAAAATTGACAGAAACTTTAATTACCGGTTATAAAATTTATGTTACCAGCGCAGAATAGACCCGTCAAAAGTATAAAATTGAAAACAAATCCTGAATTCTTATCCTGACACAGTTCACTGACTAAACGAATAATTACTTATTTCTAACAGGTTTAATTAGTCGCATCCATTCCAAACCATCAAATTCAATTTAGGGATTTGCTTAAATTCCAGCCAGCTCTTCTTGTTCAGCTGTTTTCTTGTTGGCAAATTGCTGTGGGCTAAAATATGTATTTATATGTATAATATGTATGTATGTAAAATATGTATGTATATGTGTAATATGTATGAAATATGTATTTAAAAAAGTAAAAAGAGCAAAAATGTTCTAAGCAAGGAGAAAGTAAAAAGAGCCGCACTTTGCTAAGCAAAGAGCCGCAATTATCTCAAAGAGCCACGTTTGCCCACCGTTGGTATATATATTTTTAATTAGATAATTGTTTAATAAATTTTACTATAGTAGGAGCTTGCAAAATTCGGAAAATCTCTTCCCGTATATACAATGTAAATAATAATGCTGAATATGTTGCATGGTTTCCTTTTGTTGACATGCATAAATTTGATGCATGATTTGATTTGAATTTATTCGGCAATGTCTTCATATATCACTTTCAAACATGTACAAGCGACATGATATAAACTGGCACTTCCATGATGTGTTACATGTCGCTATGTTTTGTAGTTCAGGCCTTTAGTATCTATATATAATTGCTCAGTCATACGACTTAGTTAGGCCGATCTGTAGCAGCCTTAGAATTGAGCTATATATCAAACTAAAGTGCAAACTGCAGTTGCAGTTGACCGTGTTTGTCAAAAGTAAAAGTTATTAGGTATTATTCATAGTTTTAAAATTTATTTCACGAAAGCAAAAAATAAAAATAGCTTAGATCCCTTTCTTTTTTAAACACCTAGGAGGATATCACTGACCATTAAAAAGGACCCTGAATGACCGCAAACCTCAAAGCATTACACATTTTCACCTTCATTTTCCTATAATTTCTTGAAAAACCACTTCCTTGCTAAAGAGCGTTTGTATATATCAATTTTGAATAAATATTGATGAATTCCTTAGTCACACTGCTTAAAAAATCTGAAAGTCCGGTATATAAAAAATATAAATTCAAGGCCGTATTTAAGAAAAGCCTCCTTACTTCAACAATTTTTATGCGATTGCAATAAATGAGCTTTCAGGTTATTTACAAATGGATTTAATTCTAGATTGTGCTACATATTTAGAAATTGTGGAGATTATCGATGGTCAAAAGTTAAAAAATTAAGAGAAATATGGATTTTTTTTATTTACCCGATAAAAAATCCCAACAAGCCAAGTCCGACAACAAATTATTCAAAAGCTAATAAATCTACAAAATCTTATTTTCTGACCTAAATCGACAGGTCGCGACCTCTAAATGACCTTCAACAAATCTATCAAAATAGGCAGTAACACAAATAAAATTAGGGGTAGGGTCTTGAAATTAAAAAAAAAAACATTTTCGCCATAAATATGTATTAAAAGTAGTATATCGCCTATGCATACATATCATTGCAATACTTTGTTCCCTAGTCTTTTTCTTATTCAATGTTAAAAAAATAGTTCATTCGAAATCGCATTTTTTAGTTATACTCATAGTCTATACCAGTGGTCGGCATTCTAACACGTTCAAACGCAGCGTTGCCAGGTTGACGTTTTTAACGTCATTTGGACGTTTTTTGTGTAAAAAATGACGTTTTTTAACTTCCCAGTACTATTCTCTGTTACTAAATCTTGTAAGTAGAACTGATTTTGAATTATTTTCTTAATAAATCTTAACAAGCTTTGTTTTTTGCAGCAGCTGCTTGAAAAAAATATATATTCTTTGGACACAGATGACTTAACCCTTATAAAGAAAATGACACACCCGCATAAAGAAAATGACACAATTAGTCGCATGGGGCCCCTTATTGAAAATTTAATGAACGTAAAAAGACTGAAATATTGCTATGTTCCTTCTTAACAGAACGTAATTTAGCATTTTCGACAACATACCACTTAACCAAATGTTTACAAGAAAAAAATAGTATTAAAAATCAACGCGATTTTTTAGCAACTTAAAACTTGCACATTATTGCCCTGAAATTTAATGGGATATCAACCTGCATACTCAAAGAAATTCTAAAAAATCTGAATAAAAAGTTG